GGCGCGCGGGAGGAGCACCGTACCGGCGGTTGCGGAGACCGGGCCCCGGGCCCGCGCCCGCACACCGGTCACAGCCCTCCCTCACCCGGGTCCCGCCGTCGGCAGTTGGTTCTCCAACGTGGGTTCACGGCCGCTGCGACAGGCCATTCTTCCCCTTACTCCTGACCCCCGCTACGTCTCCTCACCCCCCGAAACCCAGCTAGGATTGGCTAATCTCCGGGTGGGGCGGGCCTAGGATGTTGATTGACAGCGGTGAGCACAGAGGCGCGGACGCGGAGCTGACGCCCCTCCCCTCGCGGAGCCCCGGGGCTATGGTGCGCTAGGTGACCCTGCGGCTCTTGCCCTGGGGCTTGAGGTCTGAACCCGAATTCTACGCAATTGCTGGTGGCCTACCGACACCAGCCTGCCCACATGCTCCTGCAATACAGACATCCTAGGAAGTGACCACAACGGGCCATCTTTCCAGTTCAGTTGGTGACATTTCTGGTTCACTCTTCCGCAGAAACTTGACTTGCTAATGGGAGTCCAAGAGATGGCCGGTCCTAGAATCTTTTGCTTTGAAGTTAGTGCACTTGCACTTGAAATCGCCTCATTCCTTTTACTCTGACTTTATGCAAGATTTAGGTCTCCTGGAAAAGATGCCAGCCAGATGACTTTTCCACTCAGTTTTGGGTTGTCATATTTTAGACATTCATTTAACTAGTAAGTAGCAGCTTCCTCAAATTGAGGAACTGAGAGGATCCCTCAGGTTGTGATCCCCTGCGTGCTGTTATTCAAGTGTTTGGAGTGCTGCTGTTTTACCTGAGCACAACCCAGACCCAGTAAGTAGCACCCCCCCCATGTATTACCAAGGTTGAAGAAGAATTAATATAAATTGCAACTAACATTGGTTTTATATTTATCAGCCATGGTGGGCTCTGTATGCTCAGTAGGATGTTCACCAGACCCACCAATGGGGCTGCCACAGGGCAGCCTCTTCTGGAGCAACCATTTCATTCTCCTCTCTAGGAAATAAAGCCTTTCAGCTAGCCTTTTGTAGTCAAGTCTCCATGCTTAACGAAGAGATCTTAAAGATAAGTTTTAGTTATATCTCCCACTTTCCTTCACAATTTGGCTAATGAATGTCAAATGCAGGAAACAGGATTCATAACCCTAAGGCATTTCAGTGAGCTTTCCATACACATATTTTAGAATTATAGCCACCAAAAAACAGCAGGTACACCAGTCTATCCATCGCTTCAATTCTTTTTTAAATGCTTTTTAACGTAGTTTACCAAGGGGTTTCAATTCAGCATGTCACTTTATGAATGCAATGCATCTTGATTAATGTCATAACTGTCATCCTACTCCTCATCTCTTCCAATCCTACCCTAACTTCTGTTGTACAGACTTGGAACCCCAAAAAAACCACCAGAGACCATGACCAATGCAAACAGCAAAAGAGTCATTTATTTGCAAGGTCAAGCTTGGTCCTCCACACACTCAGTAACCGGTAACACTAAGAGGCCCTGAGCACAAAATCAGCACAGCTTTTATAGTATTGAACAAACAAGTTTAGGGGATTTCCTGACAAGCAATAAGTTTAGGAGATTTCCACACAAGCAATTATATATCGGTAAACATTTATAAAAATTGCATAGTAAGCTAGGCGCTAGTGGCTCACACCTGTAATCCTAGCTACTCAGGAGGCTGAGATCTGAGGATCGAGGTTCAAAGCCATCCCAGGCAGGAAAGTCCGAGAGACTCTTACCTCCAATAAACCAGGTGATTGAATCAGGCAGTTCACTCTACTTTTACCACAGTGGAGGTGGTCTGGGTGATGATGTAGATTTCCTCTAGGTGACTGTCTGGCTGTCACTGAACTTTACCCATTAGGGTGTGCAGCAGCAGGATCTCTCAGTGGCTCCAAGGGACTGTCACACCTCGTGCTGGGCTGCAAATTCCTACACAGACTGGTTAAGGATATAGTACATAGGCCTGGCAGGCTGGGACCCCACTAGTTTTTAAGCCCAGGACAATAACCCAGGACAATTTACCAAGATGACAACTTTTTAAACTATATAGTTCTTATAATAAGGCTAGGATTTTCTAGGCAGCTATAAAGGGCTCAGGCCTGTACCACTATTTCCCATGCCTTTTCCTTCTGTCTATTTTGCCACATTTTTTTTAAGGTGACTCTGCTCCCTTGATCTTAAGAGGAGATGATGGGCAAAGCTTCATCTTCTGTCACTTCTTCAAGTTGACTCAGGGGTGTTGATACTAACTAACCAGGAATCTATAATCTTAGCCTATTTTACAAAGAGGTTACCAGGGTTAGATGTCATTAAGAACAACATTTTAACTTTTGTCAAATGCACAGACCTTTTTTTCTGGCTACAGCAGTGCTGCTTATTTAGCCTTCTGTTTGCAAAGGGATCTTTCAGGATGGCTTAGGAATGTGATCTCTGGTGATCCTAACAATGCCTAAATTACCTGTACAGGCCTTCAGATAGATACCAAGAAAAACACTCAGGTTTACAAACTTTTTTTCATGTAGCTGGTGTCAGCTCAAAAGTTACTGCCAATTAGAGCTTTTTGGTACATACAGGTGTTGGGATTTAAACTGTCCTCCACATTTTACAACCTTAGCTTTTTAGTACTGTCACAGATGACTGACAAGTTCTAGTCCCATACAAGGTAGATAGTCATGGACATTAGGCATGTTATAAACTATCTTCCCATGACCTCCTGGCTCTGACCAATTTATGATGGGCCATGCACAAATGACTCTAAGATCTGACATTATTGCTGCCATCCAAGCAGTGGCTTACTGCCTCTGGATGCTCCACCATTGCTTTCGTCCTAGGAGTGTCTTCTCTGCACTGGGAAAAATGCTCATTGGCATTTCCTTTAGTTGGTTGCTGGACTTGAACTTGGGGCCTAAGTGCTGTCCCTCAGCTCTATAGCTCAAGGCCAGCACTCTGCCACTTTGAGTCCTAAAGCAACTCTGCTTGCTCTTTCAGCACTCCGCTGGCTGAGTAGAGGTGACAGTCTCACAGGGACCTTTTTCTGCCCAGGCTGGCTTTGAACCAGTCTGCAGATCAATGAGTCTCATAAAAGGCCACTTTACTCCAATTAAAAGCAACAAGGTGGTCAACATAGAAGTAGCTTTTAAGCATGCTCTTACCTGAAACTTTTTAAGAGCCAATGTTACATCTGACAAACTTTCAAGAATCTTCACTCCTTTTTGGGGGCCTGCTGGGAACTGTTACAAAAAAAAACCTATAAGAGCAAACTGAAATAGGAATTAAGCAAGTATTTTGGTAATCCTAATTTTTCCTTTTTGCACTTTGAGGCAAATGTTAGGACAATTTTACTTTTAAACTTTATATACAGAAATGCATTCCTAATTTTTAAGCCTCCTATTAATCTCTGTTTTAATAGTCTATACTTTAGTTTTTAGTTGTATTTTGAAAAATCCCTTGAACTCTCGGGGTTAGGTGTCACTCATTTCCTCTTGGCTGCTTGTTTTAAAACAGATACACATTAAAACTTTTAAACTCAAATGACAATTTTTCCTTAATGCAAGAATTGCAATCCCCATCACTGTACCAAGAAGCTAGACTTAACACATTTATGCCTTAAAAAAAAACATATCCAATTGCAGAATATCATTGAGAGCAAATCACATTATACAGATAAACTTTTTTAATCCTCTTTTTAAGGCCTTCTTAATTTTAATTTTAACACATCCAAGGGGCAGTTTTAGTAATGCTAATCAGATCATCACATCATTCATTTTTACCATCATGTTTCCAGTGTCTATCTGTGGGGAAAAAGGACAGAAAAAGATGGGCCACTTGGCACCTCCTGTGGAATGGGCACGCACCCAATCCGATTCTTTAGGGTTAGATGAACTGCGTTTGTGCCAGCTTGCTCTCTTTCACCATGTGTGGACTCCTCCCATGGCCTGTTCACCATGCATGACCAGCTGAACTGCACTTCTGCCTGTTCACCCTTCACTCCTAAAGATAGTTCTTCTGTTGGCTTCTAAGTTTCTCCTTTTTGTTAAGCCATATATCTTGATTACAATGTAAACAGCCTTATGCATTCTAAAGTACCAGATTTTCTAATTTTCAAGTTAAAGAATCCTTAAAAAGCCATTTAAAACAATGTGAAAATTCTTTAAAATTTTTTTGGTAATGTCCAAACCTCATAACCTTTTGAATTTTAAACTTAAACCCACCCAATTGTTACAGCATGCTGACAATTTTTATCTTGAACATGTTCACAAACACATACAAAACAC